GGATGGATGGATGGGTGGGTGGGTGGGTGGATGGCTGTAGCATGGATAGGAGGGTAGACAGGTGGATGGGTGAATGGCTGAGTGAAAGATAGATGGTGAGTAGATGTAGGTGGTGGGTGGGTCAGTGGGGGGTGATGGTGGGTAGGAGGGTGGCAGAATGAATGGCTGCATCCTAGCCGGGCAGGTGGGTGAGTAGGTAGAGGAGGTGTCAGCAGCACATCTCCTCCTCCGGGCCAGCACTCAGCCCACCCGTTCACTAACTCTCGTGCAGGGTTCCATTGGATTCCCGGGATTCCCTGGCGCCAACGGAGAGAAGGGTGGCCGGGTAAGCGCTCTGGGCTTGGGGCGGGTGGCTTCTGCTGCCTTGGCGTGTGGCAGTTGGTTCTCCTGCCAGTGGCTTGTTCATTTTCTCACTCATGTGCTGCCAAAAGCACTTTCCAGCCTGGCAGATTGTAAGCCGCTGGGCCTTTATCGGTGTGTGCTGAGCACCAGCCACTCTCCCCAGACGCTGGGCCAGTGGCGCTGGGGGGAGCAAAGCACGCTGGGAAAGTGGAACTTTCTTATGAACCGGAAAGCTCTCTCTGCCATCAGCGAACCAGATTTCTTCCTCCCTTTTCCCCCCTCTCTCTCCCTGCCTGGATTTCCCACCAAGCTGGCTTTGAAGGAAGGGAATCAGCGTCTTCCTACCACCCATCATCCATTTTCTCTGTTGGTCTGTGTGTCTCTGTATCTATTGTTTATCTTCTATCTGGCTGTCAATATCAATTAATCAGTCTCCTGTCTGTCTTCCATTACCTACTGACTGTATCTATTTTATCTTCTATCTGGCTGTCAATATCAATTAATCAGTCTCCTGTCTGTCTTCCATTACCTACTGATCAGTTGTTTACCTGGCTCCTGTATCAATCATCTGTCTCCCATCTTTCTACCTCCACCATTCTTCTAGAGAAGGTCTGACCAGTGTCTTTGGGGAGAGGCTGTCCCTTGCAGGGGTGGCCTGAGGTCTTGTAAGCGTGGGACACGTTGGTGTGACAGGAGCAGCCCTCCTGGGCAGAGGACCGGCCACGCTATGCCTCAGGAGGCTGTGACCTTCAGCAGCTGGCAGTGGGCTCTGGCCGCTGGTCTCTGCCTGGACAGGGACCTGGAATGGAGGCCCTGTGCTCAGGTCCTGTGCTCTCAGGGAGGCTCACGTCCCTTGGCCTCCCACATTGCACCAACCAGGGGTTTGCACAGGTGAAGTGGGCCCCGGCTGGCCATTGTCCTGAGCATCAGCATTGGGGTCACTGGACAAAACCGCAAGCCCAACTCACGCTGAGACCTGCCAGGCACCCAGCATTCCTCCCAGATGTGAGCCTCAAGCCCTGATCAGGGAGGATCTATCTGCGGTACAGACTCAAGGAGAGGGCCGGGCTGTGTGGCTTCTCAGAGCACTGCATGGGCTGTGTTCAATCCTTGGAGCCCAGCCGCCGTCTTCACCTCTGTCACAGCCTGCACACCCTGTCCAGGAGCAACCAGGGTGCCTTGGGCACCCACGGAATCACTCTGGCGTCTTGCTGCACGAGCAGGTCCAGGTCCTGGGCTGTTTTGTTGTTTCTTTGTGTTGAGTTTGGTGAACCAAGGAAAACATGGGTGCCTGCAGGCCTGAGAGTCGGGGTCCTCACCCATGCACCCATCTGCTTTTGTTGGCGACTGAGGCCTCCTCTCAGTGACCCTGTCCCCAAGTCTCGTGGCTGATTGTCCTCCTCTGACATTGGGCTTCATTGTATCTGGAGGCTGTTCCTTCCCTTGAAATCCCGCATTGTCTCCAGCGCCCCTAAGTGCCCGTGCCTAGCAGGCTGTGGGGACCCAGGTGATGAAGGCAGACATTCACCTCTGTCAGCGAGGGGCTCAGAGACTGGTGCTCTAGCACCATGGGCATGGGATGCAAGGCCGGTGGCTCAGAGTCGCGCCCGGAAAGCTGGGGCTTCCTGGAGGTGGTAGCCTCCTGCTGGGACCCACAGAAGGGACAGATGGAGAGGGGAGGTGGGAAGTGGGGGGGCGGGGGAAGCTGCCAAGGGTGTGCATTGGGGTGAGGTGCTGTGGGGTTTAACGGGGTGACCTGCACGGGGGAGGCAGGGAAGGGGACAGGAGCGCTATGAGGGTCGACAGGGCTGTCCCTGTGGGTCACGGCCAGTTGCCTCTCCAGGTGCTGTGTGGGAGGCCAGAAAAGCGGCCTGCTGGGAGTGGCCCAAGACGCTCTTCCCAGGGAGCAGGGAGTCCCAGTCTGTTTTCCCTCATGAGGCGAGGCCGGGGGGTGGACAGGAGCTCGTGGGTGGGCTCTGAAGAGACCCGGACACTTCCTGTGGAGCAGCTCGTCTCCAGGATGGAAACTCAGGCTTGGGAGTCATCGTTGTGCCTCTGTTCTCCCCCGGCAAGGCCTGGGTGCCTGGGCCCCCGCTGCACCTGGGAGCCCTCCGTGCTGTGAGACGAAGCCGCAGGTCGGTTCCGGTGACGGGACTGGCAAGTTGAGGGCCTTGCTTCAGGGTTGGTGACAGGAGTCCACGCCGGCACGGTGTTCATCACAGGAAGGCTGCGGCTCAAATATCTGCTGGAAGCCAAGAGGTACCGCCACAGAACAAAAGCGCTGCCACCGGAAGGAGTTGTTTTAAAAAGCGACGTAATTATAAATGGTTTCATTCAATTCGTTTCAAAATGGGAGACCGGAGAGCAGTTCTGATGCTGGCAGCGAATGAATGAACGGTGCCGAGAAGACGCTTTTCCCGTGGCCTTCAGCCATGTGGAGCTGGCTTGGGCTCCTCTGTTGGAGCCCGGGATGAAGCCGAGCCCGAGCCCGGATGCCGTGCCGTGTTCAGTCCGTTGCTTCCACAGGCTGGTGGGGAACCGCGTTTTCCAGCCGTCCTGTGTGTGCTTCAGAAACAAACAAACAAACAAAACACCCAGTGCATTTACTTTCTGTGATTTGGAAGATGCAAAGCAGGCTCAGAAATAGGAGTCTGAATTCTAAGAGAGGAGCAAATGACTCTCGGATCTGTGATGTATGTGTTAAATTGCAAGTTTGCCCGTCCGCCGAGCCTGCTGAAAATTTAATGGCTAATATTCTTAACAGTAGTGGAAGTAAATTATGTATGAAAAGAGTTGACTTTCTTCTCTTTTCTTGCAATAATGGTTTCTCCCCCTGCTGAGAGAGGGGGGAAGGGCAGGGAGGGAGGGATGTGGAGGAGCTCTGAGGATAGGTAGGGAACATCCATCCCGCTGTGGGGGAGCCTTGGCCTCCGCGGGGCTGAGTGAGGCGCCTGCCCACGCCACGCACTTCTTGCCCTGATTTTCTCCCATTGAACCCAGATTAGCCAGGTGGCCTGGGAAGGCCGCACTCTTGCAGGCTCCTGTGCCAGGCTGGTGACCCTCTTCTCTGATTCTAGGGCACTTCTGGGAAGCCCGGACCGCGGGGACAGCGTGGCCCGACGGTAACTTCCTGTGGCCTGAGGGGCCTGGCGGGGAGGGTGGGAGGCCTCGGGGCCCAGGCGCCTGAGCTGACCTTTCTTCTCTCCGCCCCTGCAGGGCCCAAGGGGTGAACGAGGCCCACGAGGCATCACGGGGAAACCTGGCCCCAAGGTATGTTCTTGGTTTTTCTGCGGTGACCAGGTGAGCCCAGGTGTCACAGCTGAGACCAGGAGCACCGAGAACATTCTGTGGCCTTTTCATTTGAAAGCAGAGGAAGGTTTTCTTACTCGGAGGCACTGAGGGGGATCCTCTCCTCCAGCAGCCTCTGGGAGGGTGAGGAGCAGGTGGGGTGGCAGCGGGTGACCCTCAGGGGATATGGCCCCCAGGCAGAGAGCGGCAGGATGATCCTACACCAGGGGACCCCAGGTCCAGGAGGCCCGGCCCAGCGCCCAGCACCCTGTTCTGGCAGGCCAAGTGGGAAAGCAGCAGAGATCCTTCTGGGGTGATCTTTGTGGCTCCTACCCAGCCTGTCTGTCTGTAGACAGGCTCAGGGCCCTTCTGTCCCCAGCCTGTCCCATCAGAGGACCTCTGGCTGGCTGGGGGGCAGCGGGGGCCCCACTGAGCTCCAGTGCTCCCTGCGTGCTCCCTTCAGCCGCACCGCACATCTAGGGAGCCGGGGAACGGAGCCCTGGGAGACTTGCTGCAGCCTGTGTCTGCAGGGGAATGTTCTGGAAATGTCAGAGGCCCTCAGATGTCAGCTCAGGTCAGCTGCGGGTGCAGAGCGAGAGGACAGACGAGCTCTGGGGCCACCAGCCAACCCATTGTGATGTGTCCCAGCCTGAGGAGGGCCACCAGGACAGTTCAGTGATTCACAGGCCGTGGTCTTTCCATCCACGTAAGACTCACAGCAAGCTCTTCTCTCTCTGTCCCTCTTAAGGGCAACTCTGGAGGTGATGGCCCTGCCGGCCCTCCTGGTGAGCGGGTAAGCATCTTGTCCAGGGCCCTGGGCTACCTCCTCAGGACGCACTGTGACCCTGCCCAGGAGTGGGGATCCCTGAGACCCCACAGTGGGACCTGCTTGGAAGTGCAACCTTTACCAGGTTGGAGATATCAGCCCCACCCACCAGGCCTAGCCTTGGGGTGCTAGAGGCTGCTGAGACAGGAAAGTGGGTGCTCAACCTGTCCTGCCCTGAGGTCCCTAGGACATCGCTCTGTGACTTGCCCCCAACACCCTGGCTGGGTCCCCCTTTTCTTGGCATGAGCAGGGCTGGAATCAGGGAATGTCGTGGGCACAGTGGGTGCTGGGCTACTGGGGAGTGGCCCTCTGTCCCACACCAGCCACTGTCTGTCCCCAGGGACCCAATGGACCCCAAGGACCCACGGGCTTCCCTGGACCGAAGGGCCCCCCGGTAAGTTGTGCCTTCTCCTGTGGCTGGCTGGCCTGTCCCCTGGACACCCGGCCTTTCTCTAAGGGCTTTCAGTGGACAGGAGGCTCAGTGGGACCCTGGGTCAGCAGGAGGGTGGAGCCGATGGCTGTGTCCACCTGCCGAGGCCCCCTGAGCCACATTGTGGGTCCCCCTTGTGTTCAGTCCATCACCGTGTTCTGGTTGGGTCTGAATCAGGGTTCTGGGTCCCAGACAGGGCAGTTTAAACAATCTTGTAGTCCTGGGGGCCTGGGGTCAGCAGGCTGATTCCCTCTGGAGTTTCTGGGGAGCTCAAGGCCCGGGTCCATCTGCCTTATCCCAGCTTCTGCCTCCTCTCTGGGTCTCCCTGGGTCAGCAGCTGTCTCTGTTGCAGGACCTTGTCAGTCGCTTAGCCCCTGCGCCCTCCTCACACTGGCAAAGTCCCTGTTTCCAAGCAAGGCCTCATTCTAGGTTCGGGGCTTAGGACATCAGCACAGCTTTCTGGGGGACCCAGCTCTTCTCATAGCAGGTGCAGTCTAGTTCTTCAAAGTGCCCCCTAAGACAGAAAGAAACCCAACCATGAGGGTTACTGCAAAGGCAATGAGATGGAGGTCGGACAGACTTGGGCCACGGGATGGCAGGGCTGCGACCTTCTGGACCTTGGGGTGCCGATTGGCTTCTTCCTGCCTCTGTTTCCTCCTGAGAGACACGGTGATAACTGGGTCCTGTGGGGTGGCTGTAGGGTTCCGCAGCATGCGGCAGGTGTCAGCCACAGCACCTGGGTTGGCTTCTCCGGGGTGCGTACCTCTGTCGTCACTGCCACTGTGACCTTGTTTGGCAGTTGCCTTTTGCAGGGAAAGTCACAGGGTGATGATTTCTGTTGGGGAGTGTAGGTCAAATCCCCTTATAGCAGGGGCCTTTCCTGAATAAAGCCTCTTTTCTTTGGTCCTCTTCTCAGGGTCCCCCAGGCAAAGATGGGCTCCCCGGACACCCTGGACAGAGAGGCGAGACCGTGAGTACCCTGACCTCTCCCTTCCCCACATGGGGCAGTGCCGTGACTGCCCGGCACGGTCTAAGGGATGCTCCTGGCTTGGCCAGACCAACCGCAGTGCCCTGAACATCTGCGGGCAGCCAGCGGGAGCTGACTCGCTGTCGGTCTCAGCAACGCCAGTCAAAGGCCAAGGAGCATTTGCAACTGTGCTGTAGATTATTTTAGGGCGTGAAGTTTCGGGAGTAGGGTGGCAGGCCTTGTACCAACCCCAGCCGTGTTTATCTGGGCGGTCCCAGGCTTGGGGCTGGTGGCCGGGATTCATAATAATACCCTCTTCAGTAACAAAGGAAGGTGCCCGGTCGCATGGAAATGTGGCCTTTCTCTTAGCAGTGGCTGTGTGAATGATTGTCATCTCTGCAAGCAGACAGAGGTCGTCTTCAGCTGAGCCCAGCCTTTAGAAAGGCACTTCAGGCTGCCACGGCAATGGGTCCCACCACCTCCATTGGCAGGGAAAGCTTTTAGTAGGATTGTGAACATTTCCTGCCCGCACCAAACCCCCATGTGGGATGGGTCCCCGTTCACAGAAGTCACGCTCTGGGCCCCAGTTGATTGCAGTCCCACACATGCCTTGGGGACCCCTTCCTTGTCACCTCGCTGTGATTTTCTCTGTGTACAACTGCTTTGCCCAGCATAAAGGCCGATTTGCACAGTTTTGAAAGCGTTTCCTACCGGCAGAGCGGAGGCCATGCAGGGAGGGCCAGAAGGGTCCTTTGTCTCTGCCGCCGGCTTACGTGTGCTGGAAGGTCTGGGATGGCCTCCCCAGCCCAGGCTGGCCCTGCGTGAGACGGGTCTTTGAATGCCGTAGCTGATGATACCATCTTGCTGCCTGCTTTAGAACAATCCTTTCTGTCTCTCTTTGGTGGCTCGAGCTGAAACCCCTTTTAATTATGCCTTCGCCGGGGCTCTGCACAGCCTGTGCTGGCTGATAAATGGAGATTACAGAGCTCTTTTGGTTATAGAGAAAAATTAAAACATTTCTTGCAGGCCTGGCACATTTTTCTCTTGTACCTTCCCAAGGAGACAAGATAGGAGGTTTTGCACACTGCGCGCTTTTCGTCTGGAAACAGGCTGCTGACATAAGGAGGCTGCACTGGGCATGGCGCCGTTTCTGGTGGCCACCTCCTTAGACGCGGGTGGGACCTTCTGGGGCGTGGAGTCCACAGCTGACCCCTGGATGTTGGCTTAATCTTTATTTAAGTGAAAACATGAGCTTTCATCGCTCTTCTGAGTGCGAGCCTGCAGCCCATTTCCCAGCAAGGGGCTGAAGGCAGATTCGGCCCCTGAGTCGCTGAGGACCAGATGGCCGGCCCTCTCCTGCCTGCATTGTCAGCTTTAACCTTAGCAGAGCTTCCCCAGCGCCCGCCTGCCCCCGGAGCTTCAGCCCCTTCACGGGGAAAGTGCAGGCTTCGGAGAGCGCTGTGTCACACCTGCCCAAGTGACCTGCTGTGTGCCGCCGAACTGGGCTTAAGGGACCGAGTTCTCCTGGGCCCCCAGAGACCTTGCCTGCCAGGTCCGTGCCCAGCACAGATGAGATGTTCTCCTCGCACCTGGTTAAAAATGACACCCGGGAGCTGCCGGCTGTGAGAGCCAGGGCCCGGCTCCTGCTGTCCTATATGCACTCAGAGGAGCAGGTTGGCAGCTCTCCTGTCGTGCGTGAGAGGCGCCCGTGACAGGAGCAGGAGAGTCCCTGCAGAGTCACTAAGGAGAAGGAGGCTCCCATGTCCTCCCGGGCAGTGAACACAATGACCTGAGCCAGCTCATGCGTACAGAGCACGGCACGCAACGAGCTCGTCTGGCTTCGTGACGTCCGTGTAGTTGATCCCGGAAGGGGAGGAGGGACTGGGCCTCCTCTGACGAACCCCACAGCAGCACCATTTGGGGACAGGGCAGGAAGGGGATCGGGCCTTCCGAGCAGGGCGGTGGGGCAACTTCCCAACCTCAGTCCTCGGTCTCTCTCCACAGGGCTTCCAAGGCAAGACTGGGCCCCCCGGCCCCCCAGGTGTGGTTGGCCCTCAGGTGAGATCCGCCCCCCAGGTTCTGGGCTGCCTCCTGCCGTGCGGGGAGGGAGAACCGGGCTCTGCCGGAGGCGATGCTGCCGGCCAGGCGGGAAATGTGCCTGTGATGCACCTCAGCAGTGGCTTTGCCAGGCAACGTGCTGAGGGGAAGGAGCCGGCGCTTATGGCCGAGAGAGGGGCTGAGTGGGGGCCGGCTGTGGCTGGCCACTCGTGCTTCCTGTGGTGTCCAGGGTAGCCAAGTCCACTGGCTGCTGCCGGTAGCCTGGGCCGCCTGGGCCAGTCCTGGCGGGTGAGTGGGAAGAGTAGCTTCTTCTCAGGCTGGGGGTCAGAGCACCCGCTGCCGCAGAACTGAGGGAAGGCGGGCGCCTGGTCCGTGTGGCTGTCTCCACATGCCGACGTGGCACAAGGCCAGCAGTGGGTGCTGACGGGGTCCATCCAGCTTTCCCCCCCTGCAGTTTGGCTGGAAGGAACAGACTTGCAGCAGAACGTGGAGGTGTGGTGGGTCCCGGCTGTCCCTGTAAGTCACTGCAGACTGACCGGTGGTGGATGCTGGTTCTCTCCCTAGGGTCCCACGGGAGAAACAGGTCCGATGGGCGAGCGTGGCCACCCTGGGCCCCCCGGCCCTCCTGGTGAACAGGGGCTCCCAGGCCTTGCCGGCAAGGAAGGGACGAAGGTGAGTCTTTCCCTGGCAGCTTCCGAGTCAGGCTGCCCTCTCCTGAGGAATCACTCCGGGTCTCAGCCTCTGCTCTTCTCGGGTGCCAGGGTAACTTCTCAGCTAATCCCGACACGAAGTCAGCTCCATCTTTGCTCAGTGGGAGCCAGGGCATGTGCCAACCTGCGCAGGGACCGAAGCCCCTTGGTCTCCATAGGGAGCCCTATCGCTGGCCACCCACCTGCTCCAGAAATGGATAAAAGGCTGTTGTACTTCTTGTGTATCCAGGGCAGATCTGTAGACAGTAATCATTTAAAATCCCCACCGTAAGAAGCTTACAGTAAATTCTAGCAGTGGAAACTAACGTGCCCCGGTGCTCCTAGCACCTCTGCTGGCCCCGGTATTGTAGCCTCTGCAGGTCGTGGGTCCCAGGGTGGGCGACTCGACCGTCTCTGTGTTGGCAGCAGATCAGCAGCCTGGCCTGGTCTGGATGGCGAGCTCCTAGCCTTCCGCACCCTGGCCATGCTCGGGAGCAACTGGAAAGTGGTGAAACCAAGAAAGGAGTAGGAAGGCCCCACACACATGAGTAGATGCGTCTGAACGTGTGTGTGCATATAAACCGGTCTATCCTAGACATGGGGAGCTCACTGAGTTTGGAGAGGAGGCCACAGGCGCTGCAGGCCCTGTCCTCTCCTCTTCTACGGACCCCAGGGAAAGTCCTGGAGAGTTATTGTGGCTTTAAGGTCCCCCAGGAAATGCACAGCCCTGAAGGTGCCTTCTTTTTCAAGGAAGCAAGGCCTTTGAGTGCCGTGTGCACTTAGAGAAGTGTTTTTAGCAACGTCAGCTGCAGGTCTGTCTAGCTGAGCACAGCCTGTGCTTGTGATAAGCCCCAGATATATGGGAAAGGTAGCGGTAACCCCAGCTCCTGCACAGCTGATGGTGGCTCTGTAGGATTCGAGGAGCTCAGTCCACTCTCCAGATCTGTACACAACCAGCCCAAGAGGCACAGTACACGCCAGGCCCGGTGTTCCATCCCCAGCACCAAAAGCAACACAAAAGCCCAGAGTTCTTTTGAAGGCTGAAGGGCCAGGAAAGCCCTGTCCAGCGTCCAGAAGCCAGGGGAGGCCTGTGGTGGGTGGCAGGAACAGTGTGTCTCTGCTCCATTCCAGGGTGACCCAGGCCCGGCCGGCCTCCCCGGGAAGGATGGCCCTCCAGGCTTACGTGGCTTCCCTGGGGACCGAGGGCTCCCCGGCCCGGTGGTGAGTGGGGAGTGAGGCGCAGGGTGGCGGGGGTCAGTGCGTAGCCCGGGGTTCTGCCTTCAGCGTCCCCTCACATCTCACTGCCTTGCAGGGAGCCCTTGGGCTGAAAGGCAATGAAGGTCCCCCTGGCCCCCCAGGCCCCGCGGTGAGTAGGAGCCTTCTACCCCATCCTCTTCTAAAACCTGCTCTGCGAAAAGCCAGGGGCTCCCGATAGCCAGGAGGGCACGTGCAGGGGACAGGGCAGACCACGGAGGGTCCCAGGCTCGTGCGTGGGGCCGCGGGGCGGCGCAGTCTCATACACTGAGTGCCCGCCGTGCGAGCAGGTCAAGGCCCCGTGGGTGGACGGCATAGCCCGGTGGGTTCTGGGGACACGCCCCCCCAAATCGCATCCCTCTTCTGCTTGGTGAGCTGCGAGTCCTTGAGAGATGGCAGGGAAGCTGTGTGTGACCCCACAACTAGGCCAGGATCTGGGGCCGAGGCCTCCTCCAGAAAGTCTGCAGGGTGCAGACGCATAGTGGGGTGAGCCGCAGGCAAGTGGACCCTAAGGGAAGAGGGGTGCAGCTGCTGGGGGCCCAGTGGACACAGGCATGAGGAGGCCCTGTTCCAGATGCTGGGGTATGGGTGCATGGGTGAGATGGGACCATGGGAGGAGAACTGACAAGACGCCGGGTGACAGGAGTCTGAGTGCTAGACCGCGTGGCCATAGGGAGCCACTGAGGACTCTGGGGGTGGGGGGAGTGGTGTGATCAGCTGGTGCTTTTGGGAGCTCTTAGAGGTGCAGCTGAAGAGCCTTGGAACCTGAACACTTTCTTGCCCCCTCACAGGGATCACCGGGGGAGAGAGGCCCTGCTGGCGCTGCTGGGCCCATTGGCATTCCAGGGAGACCCGGACCTCAGGGACCACCAGGGCCAGCTGGAGAGAAAGGGGCCCCGGTGAGTACGGCTTGGGGTGGGGGCCCCTAGGTGTCCCGTGGGCCATTTCCGGGGCTCTGACTGACCAGGTGGGCCCGGCCGTAGTGGGCAGGCCAGCGCCTGTGCGACTGTCCTCCCGCAGCTCCTGCCCCTGCTCCCCCAGCCGGGTGATGCTGGAAGGCAGCCCCGTGTGGTTGTGGGTGCAGGCGTGGAGGTAGGGGTACACGGGTCTGGGGCGGCCCCCTCAGGGCCTGAACCCTGCCGGCTGTGGGGCCCCTCTGCTGGATCCCCAAGTGTACCCCATCTGTCCCCCAAAGCAGCCTGTCTGCCCCTCCCCACCACAAACCCAGCCTGCTGTGTCCGTGGGGCGCATGCCCCTCACACTGGCACAACACCATCTGGTGGGACCATGCCCTGCCCGGTCCGTTCCTGGCTCCGGCCACACAGTGTCCTGCCCACCACGCTGCCTTCTCAGAGCAGCACAAACCACTCCCACTCTGGGTCCTTCCTTAGCTCAGATGTCAGGAGCCTGCGTATGGGGCCAGGCTGGTGGCACCAAGGCAGCTCTGGGCCTGGCGGTGCCGGCTGCGTGGCGTCAGCGCCGTGTCACTTCCTGTGTGCGGGGCGGGGGGGGGGGTGGGCTCAGCTGCTCACTGGTGAAAAGACACTCCAGTTGTTTCCCTGAGCTGTAGGTCCCGGTTGGGGACATCCACGCCCCTGAGAATCCCTTCTCACACTTCTCACATGCTGGGCCATTCGATGGCATCTGACCCCTTGCAGCGAGGCCCCCAGGAAGCGTTCGGTTGGGTTCTTGTGCCTCGGGTGCTCTGTACACATAGAAACAGCAGGCCGGGTTGGAGTCAGTTTGGCTCCTCATTTCCAGCGAGTAAATATTGAAGCAGGAGCCCTGCAAAAGCTGTGCTGTCCAGAGCAGCTGCAGAGGCGGAAAGGCCAGGAGGGGCCAGGGCTCACCCAGCACTCCGGCCTGAGAGTCGTGTAGGACGGGAGCCCCGCTGACAGCCCGCACTGCCCGGCGGGTTCGGGCTTCTCTGGGGTGGATGTTTCTATCTGTAGGAGCCAAGTCTGAAGCATGGGAAGGAGAGGCCAGGACCGCTCCTCCTCCGGAGCAGATGCTGGGCTGCATCTCCATCCCTGCCCTCCCCGCTGCCCTGTACTTCCACGGCGGGAAGGAGCGCGTCCCTCACTGGGGGAGGGTGTGGCTGCTAAAAGTGAGCTTAGCAAGGACCTGGGGGTGACTGCGACCACCAGGAAGAGTCCTGGGGACAGTGGACATGAGGGGCGTGTCTGTGCCTGTGTTCCGCGTGTGTGCTTGGGTGTGCATTACCTGTGTATGTGCCTGCTTGTGATGCTTGCCTTACGTGTGCAGGTATGTGTGTACTTGAGTGCACGTCTATGTGTGCACGCTCCTGTGCTTGTCTGCTAAGGTACATACGTGTGTATGCACATCTACGTGTGTGTGTGTGTGTGTGTGTGTGTGTGTGTGTGCAGGGCGTTTACAGAACAGGGAAAGTGTGATGCAGCTGGTGCAGCTGGAGCGCAGGCCGCCCTGGTCATTCCGCTGGGCTCGCGGTCACTGGTGAGGATGATCCCACACGGGCATGCTGGCTTTGCCTTGGTTTCCCCTGTGTGTCGAGCACCCCTTGCTAATGTGTGGTGAGCTGGTGGCAGGATAGAGCTGGGTGAAGCTTCAGCTGACCAGGGCTCTTCTGTGCTCTCTAGGGTGAGAAAGGCCCCCAAGGCCCGGCTGGCCGAGATGGGCTCCAGGGTCCCGTGGGGCTTCCGGGCCCAGCTGGCCCTGTGGGTCCCCCTGGTGAAGACGGAGATAAGGTAAGCAGGCCGTGGGGCCAGGAGGCAGCTGGGTGAGAAGCGGGGGTCCTAAATAACAGGGCACCCACGGGTGCGGGGACTTGGAGGATGGGGGACCCTGCTACCAGTGGGCCTGGCGAGAAGCAGCACAGAAATAATCAGCAGTGAGCCTGCTGGAGGGCCTCAGGAACCACCCTGTTCTCTTGGTCTTGGCGATGCCCAGGACTGGTGTGTGAGCAGCCAGAGAAAAGAACATTGCTCTCCGCTCCTTTCTGAATCATTTCAAATTCTGCATCTGCCGAGCTGGATTTAACGAGGTTTTGCTCAATATCTCTTTTCAAATGCCTTCCCTCGAATTACCAAGGCTCTGTTTCATTAGGAGTGTACTTTATAATCTGGTGCGATTACTGCCGGGCTGGTATTTTAGACTCTGTTTAATGAAGACAGCAGGACTCCTCTGTCTTCTTAATCTTCACTGACGACAGCTCGAGGGTGTCCTCTCTGACCTTGTCACCTCTGAGAATGCCTTCCGTCTCCAGGTTGGGAGGCAGGAGAAGGTCCTAATACCTGCTTGGGGAGCGCGGTGGCCAAGCGGCCCCTTGTTATGCTGTGAGGTTGGGTCCCGTTTGCAAATCACAGGAGGCAGTTTCAGTCTAGCTTTCCGCATCGTGGCGCCCCTGTGTAGTGTCAGATCCACAGCTCGGGCTGCCGCGCCCCTGTGTGCAAGAGGAAATCACACAAACAGATGGGACCAATGCGAAACACTTGCGGTAGCTGAGTGACTAACAACACCTGTCTCCTCTGCCCCTAGGGAGAGATCGGAGAGCCGGGACAGAAAGGAAGCAAGGGAGACAAAGGCGAGCAGGTAGGGGCAACGCAGGCTGTGGCGGCTGCCAGGTACGGGGGCCACACAGGCTGTGGACAGCGTGGCGGTGAGTCACCTCCCTGCCGCGGCCAACTCAGTGTGCACGAGCCACACACTTGGGGACTCTGCCGCATCTCCAACTCGGGAAGCAACCTGCGTCTCTTTGTTCCCTCAGGGTCCCCCTGGGCCCACGGGTCCTCAAGGCCCCATCGGACAGCCAGGCCCCTCTGTGAGTATCTCTCCTGGTAACCCCAGCTGGGCCCAGCTCTTCCAGCTTCTGCAGGCCTCACCTGCACTCAATTCTGTCCCTGCAGGGTGCAGACGGGGAGCCGGGCCCCCGTGGCCAGCAAGGCCTCTTCGGGCAGAAAGGGGACGAAGGTTCGAGAGGTTTCCCTGGGCCTCCAGGGCCAGTGGGACTGCAGGTAACTGTGGGGCTGCTGCAGAGGCGCCTGTATTTTGCCGGGCCAGCTGCACCTCTCTTGTTTTGGTACTGGGGTTCGAACTCGGGACCTTGCGCTTGTGAGGCAGGTGGCAGCACCACTGAGCTAAATCCCTGGCTGTACCTCTCTTTTAAGAATGGGGAAACAGGCAGGGTGGCAGGAAGTGGGAGTGCCGGCAGCTCTCGGGAGTCCAGACACACCTGGTGTCTCTGCGTGCGTCCTAGAAGCTTAGGAAATGCGGATCAGTTGTAAGGGAAGGAAACCAGAGTCCACCTCGAAATCACGGCTGTGCACACCGCACCTCGTTAAATGCATGTGTTTGCATAGTCGCGCAGGTGATTGTATTAGGTGTTTGCCAAATCCAAGTCGCGTCGTATGCCGGACAGACGCTGTGTACCCAGCCTCTCCTTCGTATTATGAGGCATGTTGAATGTCGTGAAGTATTCTCTGGACCCGTGACTTTATTTATTTTGGAAGACACGATTTTTAGTTACCACATAGCATTTCAGCATATGCTGGGGACATAACTTATCCAGACATCTCCCGGCTGCTGGCTCATTAGGTTTATTGTTTTATGGGACACTGCCATAAACACCCGTGTCCATAAATCTTTGCATCCTTCTCAAATGACTTCCTCCAGCTCTTTCTGAGCCTAGAATCGCGGCGCGCCCCCGTGCTAGAGTAGACTTGGAGCTTGTGGGAGCGCGTTCGGGGGCACCCTGGAGGTGCGGGTGAGCGTGTGCGCATGCGCCAGGGCGGTGCCTCACCGCACTCTCCCGTTCGCAGGGCCTGCCGGGACCTGCGGGCGAGAAGGGCGAGACCGGAGACGTGGGCCAGATGGTAGGTGCTGCTGGGCCGCAGGACCTGGCTTTGGCTGCCGTTTCCATTCTCGGGGGATTTGCATCTCCTCTGGGCTCATGGCCTCTCCTCCTAGGGCCCGCCTGGTCCCCCTGGCCCCCGAGGACCTTCAGGAGCTCCAGGTGCTGATGGGCCTCAGGGTCCTCCGGGTGGAATCGGGAATCCGGGCGCAGTGGGCGAGAAGGTAGGCCTCCTCCGTGACAGCGCCGGCGTGTGGTGGCAGAGCACGTGTGTGCACCTGTGCCTGTGTGGGTGTGTGGACTTTACAAGGACAGATTTTGCCCATTGTGTTTGGCGACTGGGAAGTAGACCTTCCTGAGCTGAACCGGGCTCTCTGGCTGTCCATCCATGATGGCCCTTTAGCAGAACCCGACTCTGGGTGCTACCCCAGTGTCCCCACCATCTCGGGAGCAGCCAAGGGGCTGGGCCTGCAGTCTCTGCTCAAGCAGCCCCTGACTTTTCACGCCCCTGACTGTGCAGTCTTCGAGAACCTGGAGCTTGGGCCTGGAGGCAGCTGAGGGTGCATGGCGGGCCCGCACCCGTGTATGGATGTATGTGTGTGCACGTGTGTGTGCTCAGGGTGTGACATGGAGGCTTGAGTCCACACCAGTGCCCAGAGCACACACCCTGGAGGGAAGGAGGACATGGCCGGCCCGGGTTCCCTGAGTGTGCAGCTCTCTGGCGCTGACAGCCGCTTGATGCTTGGGTGGGGAGATGGAGAGGAGCCCCACCCGTGCCGACACCCACCGCCCTTCCCTGTCTGCGTCCCCAAGGGTGACGTGTGGCTCCCCTGCCTGTAATCTGTGCTCCTTTGCCAAGCCTGTCACTCCCCCACCTGTACCAGCCTTCCCATAGTGCCCCTCACAGCCCGACAGCCCTCCGGTGCCCCCCACATGCCCTCGCCCTGGGCCCTTCCTCACGGGCCTGCCCTGCAGGGATTTGGGCACTGCTGGCAGCTGCTCCAGCTGTCCAGGGACCCCTGGTGACACCCGCTTGTCTCCCCAGGGGGAGCCTGGTGAAGCTGGAGAGCCTGGCCTTCCGGGAGAAGGAGGTCCTCTGGTGAGTGTGTGGGCCCTGGGGGGCTGGGACCCAGCAGGACACAGACGTGGCTGGATCGCAGGGGCCCCGTCCCTCAGCACCCGCTTCTGTGAAATGGACATTGTTACCCCACGAGGCCAACAGAAGCCACAGAAGTGTGATCCAAGGGTGGGGCTGAGTGCGTGCACACCCAGGCCCTTTCCTGCTGCCCTACAAGCACAGCCTCACCGTGCAGGGCCCCAGGAAGCCAGGGGCTCCGGGCTGGAAGGCTGCACACGGGTGGCACCTGCAGGAAATGAGGGCGGTGGCCTCTCTGGCCCTCTGAGTCTCTGTGGACTCAACCAGTGCTGGGCAGGGCTGTCCATGGCACAGGGACCCTGGGAGGCCCCTTAGGCCAGGGCCTGGGCAAGTGTGTGGGGGCTTCGGGACCTGACCTTGCCTCTTCTCCTCCAGGGACCTAAAGGAGAAAGAGGAGAAAAGGGCGAGGCCGGTCCCTCGGGAGCTGCCGGACCCCCTGGACCCAAAGGCCCTCCCGGAGATGATGGCCCCAAGGGCAGCCCTGTGAGTAGCAGAGCCCCACTCCATGACTGTGCAGCCTGCTGGGTCCTAGGATCTTGGGGTTTGCATAACAACCTCAGACCAAGCTAGGGGCAGCGTGGAAGAGGCGGCGGGGAGGCGCTGTGAGACTCGAGGGCGGGGGGCAGGGGCCGGGTTGCCACACCTGTCTGGCCTGCCTGGCCTGCCTGGACTCTGCACCAGGGACTTCTTCGAGCTCCCATCTGGAAGCCTGGGCGCAGGCTGTGGCCACAGCTAGGGCTCCTGGGGTGAATGCACAGGCAGGAGAGGGCCTCCTGGGGGAGGGGCCTGGTATCGGGACCGTCCTAGTCCTGGGGCCAGGTGGTGGGCAGGTGTTGTCCCAGACAGTGCTGGGCTGAGCAGGGTGTGGTCACGCTGCTCAGGGCCCAGGCCTGTCCCTCTCTCCTCTCCAGGGCCCTGTGGGTTTTCCTGGTGATCCTGGCCCCCCTGGAGAGCCTGGCCCTACGGTAGGTGCTTAAGAGGGCTGCCTATCCCCCAGTCCCTGCAGCCCTCTGCCCCCGAAGCCCCTGCTCTCTGTTGCCAGCCCCGTCTTTTCCTCTCTCCCTGCTGATTTCTTCTGGATGCGTTCTTCCGGGCACCGCATTCCCCATTGTCTGCCCCGTGCGTGGGCCCAGTGCCTGCACTGGCCATGTTTATTTCCAGGAAGGATTGAGGGTGTGCTGGGGCTGGGGGTGAACTCGGGGTCCTGTCTGGGAGCAGGAAGGAACTGGCTTTGCTCCCCCCAGGGTCAGGACGGTCCCCCTGGTGACAAAGGAGATGACGGTGAACCTGGACAGACGGTGAGTCCCCATGTGAAGCACCTGTGCATCTTGGGGTTTTGCAGCTGGCTGGATTCACTTTGGAGAAACCCAAATCCCGTTCCCTTACTGTGGTGACTTCTTCCTGAGAAGGGCCTCGTGAATCCCCCGAGGTCTGGTGAGAACTGGACAGAAAGAAAAAAGAAGGCGTGTCTGGTGCTAGCAGTGACTTTGCATGTGGCTCTGGGGGTTTGCCCCAACCCCCAAAAGCTCTGAGTGTCAGGACTCGCCCACGTGTCTGCCTGGTGGGCCTCAGCCCTGCCCTGGGACGGAGGACATGGCACACCTTTCGCCTTCCACGCGACACAGGCATCAACCCACCCCACGGGGCCCCAGGGCAGTGCTCTGCTTGGAAGCAACCCCTGGTCTCAGGGTCTCCCTTTCTTGCACCCATGTTGCTGCTGGTTGACTGTCTTGGTCTTTTTTTCTGCTGCTATAACAAAAGGCCACAGCGGGGAGAAATTTTGGACAGCAGAAGTTTTCATGGCTCGGAGCCATGGAGGCCAGGAAGCCCAAGATTGAGGGGCTGTAGCATGGCAAAAGGCAAGGGTCGAGGGAGGAACTTGGGCCAAGTCCCCCTGCATCCCACTCCCCCCTTGATAATGGCCTTTGTCCCCCCAGGCAGAGCTTGTACATCCTGATTCCCCCTGAGAGCTCAGCCCCTCCTGCCCCATCACGGTTCTGTCAGATTCCGGCCTGCGTGGTGGGGGCACTCAGACCAAAGCAGGGATCCCAGGACACGCGGCCCCTGCCACTGACCAGAATGCACCTGGGTGCAGAGCGGGGGCTCAGGACACAGCTCTGGGGCCGGGGTCCCTGGTGGCCGTCCCTGGCCCCTCACCGCCTGGCCGGAGCCCTCAGCGTGGCACCAGATCCCACCTGTGCCACCGGTAATGCTGACAGTGGCTCCCTTGAGGGACCTGGTGGGTTGGGGCCAGTCACTGTGTGGGGCAGCAAGGCCCACGTGACAGGAAGTTCTCCAAACACAGCCACTCGCTAAGAGGCAGTCTAGGCTTCAGGACCTCATGCAGAACCAGCTGGGGCTCTCAGAGGCTGTGCGAGCCAGAGAACTGGGCTGCCCCCATGCAGCTTTAGTGAGTCTCCACCCTGCAGACCCATCACTAACTCCGTTCTTTTTCCATACCAGGGATCCCCCGGCCCCACTGGTGAGCCTGGTCCGTCCGGGCCCCCGGGAAAGCGGGTGAGTGGGCCCGAGAGCACCCCATGCACATAGCCCTGTGCCCTCCGCTGGCCCTGAGTGCCTCCCACGTAGGAAGGAAGAGATGCTGGGTTGGGCTGGGTGCTCCTGGCTTCCTACCTTGTCACCAGTCCTGGGCCTGAGGGCTCACACTGTGCGTAGATCCATCTCTGGAGGACACCTACAGAGCTAAGGGTGTCCCTTTCCTGGGCCAGACCCTCCCAAAAAGTTGGAATGCGGGTCAGGGAGCTTTTCGTCCTGAATCCTCCAGTCACTTGCTGGAGCTGCCCCAGTTGGGACACTTGGAGGCCAGCCTGAGGAAGGACCAGCACCCCAGCACTCGGGGCGGCCAGCGCATCTCCCGCACTGACCCGGGGCCTGGCCGGCAACCAGGGTTCTGGGACTCTGGGTGCGCCAAGGCCTTCGTCCAGGTTGGCCGCTTCCTGGAGGCCCCTTCTCTTTTCCCTCGGGACCCTGACCCTGTCCCCGCCCCTCCCTGGCCAACTCACCACCTGGTTCTCGTTTGTTCCAGGGCCCCCCAGGTCCTGTGGGCCCCGAAGGCAGACAGGGAGAGAAAGGAGCCAAGGTGAGGACTTCTCGACCAGGCCTTGGCCATGTGTGGACCTCAGGAGGGCTGGCATGACAGCGGGGATGCCCTGACCCTCGTGAGGGTGGCAGTGGGTGGTCTAGCAGATGGGGGTCCATCGTCACTGCGGGCGTGGCTGAGGGTGCAGGACTCAGACTCCCGAGACTTCTGTGAAAGGGAGGGGCAGAGGCCTTGGACCTCTAATGGGGTGGTGGCTGAGGGAGGACCGTGACCCGGGCAGTCAGCCAGGGGCCTGGCAGTGGTTGGCGGGACTGCAGGATAGGATGGGCACAGGGGGCCTTGGTGGGCGCAGGGTGCTAAGGAGGGCGGGAGCCCGGGAAGCCTGGCGTGGGGACGTCTCCAGGGCACTGGGGTTTCTGAGTGGGGGTCCTGCCTGAGTGTGTGGTCCTTTCTCTGCAGGGAGAGGCAGGCTTGGAAGGCCCTCCTGGGAAGACTGGCCCCATCGGCCCACAGGGGGCCCCCGGGAAGCCTGGGCCTGACGGCCTGCGCGGGATCCCCGGCCCTGTGGTGAGGGCCCAGGCAGGCCTGGGAGGGTGGAGGCTGGGAGCAGACGTGGGTGTGGGCTCACGCCGAGGGTCTTTGTGTTTCAGGGCGAGCAGGGTCTCCCCGGATCCCCAGGCCCGGATGGGCCACCCGGCCCCATGGTGAGTGGTGTCCCTGGTGCTTTGTGAGGGGCCGCGGCGCTGGGAACCCTGGGGCTCTGGCTCTGATCCCTCCACCTCCTCCTGCAGGGTCCCCCAGGACTTCCTGGCCTCAAAGGAGACTCTGGACCCAAAGGTGAAAAGGTGAGTGGGCCCACAGGGCTTTGTTCCAGGGAACTTGAGCTGTTGATCTGCAGCCCGAAGCGGTCACAGCACCCAGGAGACCTTCCAGCTGGGTCATGGGGTCCTTGCTCTGGACCAGAGCCATGTGTCCTCTGCGCCCTACCCTCCCACAGGGGGGTGCACCAGAGCTGCAGGCTGCACCAGAGCTCCCCAGAGGCAAAGCCCCACGCTTTACTAATTGGTGCTGATTTTTTCCCTGCTTCTATTGGTTTTTCGACAAACATCAGATGAGCTGGACAGCAGTGTCTGGAGGAGGCTGTGTGGTCTCGCTGCCCTCCGCTCTGGGACATCACAGCGCTGCCGGGCCCTGCAGGGAGGCTGGGCCCTCGGCGTTCCCTGGGGGTTCATGGGACAAGCACCCAGAGTGGGCGGTGGGGCACAGACAGGATGCACAAGTGCCAAGCATCAGCTCGCTGCAGCTCCTGCCTGGTGTCGCTCTCACGCCTGTCTTTCCCACAGGGTCATCCAGGCCTGATTGGACTCATCGGCCCACCTGGGGAACAGGGCGAAAAGGGCGACCGAGGTCTCCCCGGCCCCCAGGGCTCGTCTGGCCCGAAAGGAGAGCAGGTGCGTGAGCTGGCGCTGCCCCGGAAGCTTCTCCCTCTATAGCACCCAGGGGCAGATGGACTGCTGGGGATGTGGCTCACCCAAGCGCCCCTCTGCCCTTCGCCACCTGCCAGGGCCCATGCAGAGTCCGCACTTCCCTGGACCCCACTGAGGCTGGCTCTCCACGGTTGGCAGCCTCGTCCTGCAGCTGCTGCTAGGGCGAGGCGGAGGGGAGCCGGGTCCTGGAAGGGGTGACATGGCTGGAGGCACACAGGGTGCCCATCTCACTGCGGCAGTGCCCCCTTCTGAGCACCCTGGGCCCACAGATGAGGGGCTGGGGCAGAGCAGGCGGCCACAGGAGTCCTGGGACTCACAGTACAGAGTCTGTGGCCCTGATTGCACCCTTGGCCCAGATGGTTCTGTGCCTAGAGGCTCAGCAGTGACAAGAGTTAGACACCCAGGATCCTCACTGCTGAAAGAAAGCCCCTCCATTAGACCTATCCTCTCCACGTCCGGCTCCACTGTCATCCTGGCCACGGTGTTGGTAGACCACGTCTTCTCTAAGGCCAGACTGGAGGACCGTGGGATGTGGAAAGTGGACAGCGCCCTGTCCCTGTGCCTGTTCCTGAGTGAGGTTGAGCTTCCGGCTTTGGTGCCCTGGCTCTTAGCCTGACCCCCAGGGAGAAGTGTCTGGGGGTCCCAGGGTGCCAGAGGTCATCGCAAGCTGAGTCACTGCATCGGCCAGGCATGGGCTCCGTGGGGAGGGCCCGGGTTGGGGTGCCACTTGGAGGCTGCAGCACCAAGGACTTGCAGGGTGCTCTTAGAGGCTGGTTGGGACAGGGCAGCCTGGGCATTGGGAGCTTGTCCCTGGGGGAACAGCACAGGAAGGAGCAGACATGGGGCCCAAGCCAGAACAGGATGTTGGGGTGACCGTTCCTGTTCCCCAATAAGGTGTGGAGAAGGTCAACTTCAGTGTCCCCCGTCTGGGTTGCTGAAATGCTGCAGGCACCCAGGCATCAGGGTGGTGGACCTGGGGATGTTAGCCTGGTGGCCGATATTCAGGTCATCCAAGGCCCAGAGCGGAGAGGCTGCTGCTGAACCTGGAGGCCTTGGGGAGGGGACTGAGGGGACGTGGCTGGCCGGGCACAGGAGGGGGCACCTTCCCCTTCCTCCCTGCCCACGAGGCACTCACCTCTGCTTTCCGTTCCTTTGCAGGGTATCACTGGTCCTTCTGGCCCGATCGGGCCCCCGGGACCCCCTGGCCTGCCGGTGTGTATCTGGGAGGGGCCCTAGGAGGGTGGGATGGGGTGGCCATCTCCAGAATCGCACCTGGACATGAGACCAAGCAGGATGGTCCTGGGCGGGTTTTGGTTCCAGGTCACAGAAGGGAGGAAGTGGGTTGGGGGTTCTGGATGGGGTGGGGGAGGCTGGAGGGGCCGTGGGATGCCTGTGGGAGCGCATGAGCAAGGCCACATCCTCTGTACCCCAGACCGAGTCTCCCTCATGTTTCAGTGGACACCGTATTTCAAGGGCGTCCCCGATCCCCCGAGCCTCAACTCACCCCAACCCAGCTCTGCGTCCAGCCCCAGGCTCACGTGGCCCCTGTGGCCCGGGCTGCTGTCCCACTGTGTCGGGCTGGGGGAGCGGGCTGTAAAGGCCTGGCTGACACTGGTCTCCACTCCCCACAGGGTCCACCAGGGCCTAAAGGTGCTAAAGGCTCCTCGGTAAGTGACTCTGCCGGACGGGCAGGTGGGACGGCGTCCCCTGGGACAGGACACCCCCCACACACCCGAGTGGGGCATCCTGCCTGGCCCCTCCTGTCTCTCACGCATTATTGATGTTTTTTATTGCTCACTTCATATATTTTTTGAAAAACAAAAATTACGTCGTTCCACTTGCTCGTTTTAAAAATTATATCAGCTGTGCAGATTTACAGGGCCAAGCTTGATAATGTGATTCATGTCTACAGTGTGAAATGGTCAAGCCAGATAGTTAGCATTTCTATCTCCTTAAATGTTTTTTACCTCTTTGATTAACTGTGATAACTGTATGCATTTCTGGGGCACAGGGCAATATTTCGGTACCTGGATGCGGTGTCTTCTGACACATCCGGGCCACAGACGCTCCAATCTTGTTATCGCTACTGTGTGCCTGTCATTCAGAAGGCATGTGGTAGGGCTGTGAGCTGCAGTAGTCTTGGCCTGCTGCCCAGCGGCTCCGGGTGGTTCCTGCTGTCCGACTCCTCTTCCTTCTTTCTCCCCTGCTCAGCCTCCCGCACCTCCTGATGGGAGAGAGCAGGCCCTGTTTGTCTTTCTGTGCCTGACCCTCTCCACTCTTCACAGTGTCCTTCTGTCCCACCCAGTGCCACGCAAGTGACAGGTGTCATTCTGCTTTGTGTACTCAGTGTGTGTCAGGTATCGAAGGCCGTCTAGGCTGGGCACACGTCCCAGCCGCTGTGACAGCGGGAGTGGCTAACGGAGCTGAGCACTCTTTCGTGCCCCTGTTGCTCCCGTAGTGGGACGTGTGGACTGTGCTGCCTGCCCTGGAGGGCGCCACCCTCTCAGTGCCCCCAGCCCTTCAGGAGAGAAGAGGCCCTGCCTCAGCCATGCCCCTCGCCCGCAGGCTCCAGGACCATCCTGGAGCTCAGGGTCCACCTCTGGCCCCTCTGGCCCCCATGGTGACCAAGCGCGGCTTCTCTCTCCCCAGGGTCCCACCGGCCCGAAGGGCGAGGCGGGCCAGCCAGGACTCCCCGGCCCCCCCGTGAGTAGCCATGGAAGAGGGGGTGCTGGGAGAATCGAGGGGCATCTGTCTGGAGGGCCCGACCGGGAGAGGTGTCCCCAGACCTGTTCACACCGGCCTCACAGGCTGACCTGGCCCAGAAAGGGTGGTGGGAGGGAGAGAACGTGTGTGCATGTGTGCGTGAATGTCTTTGCTCGTCTGTTTCAGTGTGCATTTGTGTGTTCACACATGTGTGTACTCGTGTGCCTGTGGGTACATGCACGCGTGCAGTCATACGTGTACATGTGTGTGTGTACATGTGTGTGTGTATATGTTTGTAGGGGCTGGGGGACACTAGCTAAGGCCCCGGGTGTGGGATGAAGCTCGTGGTGAGCTGGGGTGCAGTGAGCGCCCTTCAGGAGCCCCCTGAGGTTGTTGCCCACTGGACCCCATCCTGTGGCAGCGGAGCCCCCCGGAAGTGAACCCCTGCATCTGCAGCATTTATGTGACCCCACTGCGTCCAGCCCCAGCTGAGTGGCAGAGTCCGGAAGGGCGCTCCGGTCACCCCCAAGGCCCGACCTCTGGGCCCGCTGAGGACAGAGTGACAGGCAAGGGTGAGGAGGGCCTCCGGTCCGGCCTGACCCACCCACCGCTGCCCTCCTGCTCCCAGGGCCCCCCAGGCGAGGTCATCCAGCCCCTGCCCATCCAGGCCTCGCGGATGCGGAGGAACATCGACGCCAGCCAGCTGCTGGACGATGGGGCGGGCGAGAGCTACATGGACTATGCGGACGGCATGGAGGAGATCTTCGGCTCGCTGAACTCGCTGAAGTTGGAGATCGAGCAGATGAAGCGGCCGTTGGGCACTCAGCAGAACCCGGCGCGCACCTGCAAGGACCTGCAGCTCTGCCACCCTGACTTCCCGGACGGTGAGGCGTGTGGAGCCCGCAAGTGCCTGCGGCCTGTTGGGCAGAGCCACCTCCCCACCTACACTGCCCAAGGGCTGTCTCCGTGGCCCGCGGAGGGGCGGTGATGTGGTCTGGGAAGGCCGGGGAAAGAGGCTGGGCTTTGTGGCCAAGCAGACCTGGTTTTGATCTCACCTTAGCTGTACCTTCCTGACCCGCTGTCCCTGATCTATAAGACGGGACAAGAACTTCTGTGAGTGAGAGGGCAGAGGCAAATGGGCAGGGGTTAAATGGCCTTGGCCTGGCGCTCGGCCAGCCGGGCACGGGTCGGTCAGGATCCACACTGGATTCTCCGAAGGCCGGGCTGCCGTACAGTGCCCCTCAGTCTGGTGTCTCAGTCACCACGCCAGGCACCTGTGGAACAAGATCACATTAGCTGCTCTTCCCCTGGGAGGTCCTGCCGAGCCCGGGGGATGTCAGGTTCTGGTAGACTCGGACCCCAGGTGCATGAGCTTCCGGTGTTCGTTCTGAGTGCTGTCTGCTTATCTGTCCCCACCCTGCCCCGGTTCCCAGGCCCCTACTCAGCTGCTTCCTGCAATGGCTGCGTTTATGGGTCAAGCGCAGGGAAGTGAGCCCTGGGAGGCCGGGCCGATGGCTTCCGGTCCCCGGCCACGTGCATGTAAATGCCGGACTGCAGTTCCCCGGCTCTGAGCCGCCCTGGGAGCAGCTCTCTGACTCCCCCGCCCCTGTGATGCAGGTGAATACTGGGTGGACCCCAACCAGGGCTGCTCCCGGGACTCCTTCAAAGTCTACTGCAACTTCACGGCCGGAGGGTCAACCTGTGTCTTCCCCGACAAGAAGTCCGAGGGGGTGAGTACCACCCCTCGAGGGGCTGGGCCAGGGCTCCGCGTTTGAGTGTACAGCTTTCATTAAGGCTCACAGCCAGGAGCCGTTTGTGTTTGCCCCAAGAGCCTTCTTCCCGAGACCTTATGTCGTTTATGAGATTGGCTAGGGCGCTGCTGGAGCTGGGCCTGGGCTGTGCAGGGACCAGGCAGCCGCTGGGTGTTGTCACCGTTGTCACCACCGCCCCTCTGAGTTCTTCTGCCCCTGGGGCCGCAGCCTCTCCCTGGAGAGCAGCTCGCCTCCTAGCCGGGCTGACCCAGAGCCATGGGAAGGATCAGAAAGTGACCCAAACGCATTTCCTGAAAGCTGCTGGGGCCTGAATTCTTGGTTCCCCTCATACCCTGGAGATTTGCTCCAGGCCCCCAGCCCAGCACATTGTTTTCAAGTCTGTTGAGTAAAGAATCTGGGGGCAAGGGGCTGGGCTCTGACTTGTAGGAATCTTGGGCAACGTCACCTAAAGAGTGGAGTGGTCTTCTCAGACCCCACTGCTCAGCTAGAGATCTGTGCTCATGTGGCTGGATGTGTGAGTGTGTGCGTGAGTGTGCATGTGGGTGTGCATGTGGCACGTGCATGCCAGGTCAGGGCGCGAGGACGAGATCTCTCTGTCGCTAACCGAGAAGGTGACGGAGATCCCAGTCGAAGCATGTAGACAGACGCCCCCCACAACACACCTCACCCGCAGCTGCTGGCTGTCATGGCCCTGGCTTCCAGGGGTCACACGGGCTCCTGTGGGTCCGGCTTCCGGCTGCAGTGTCCACATAGCCTGTCACCCAGGGAGTAGTTTCCTACCAGACAGGGAGCAGCCCTGCTCTCCCCCAGGCCCAGCCCCCTTAGCCCCTAAGTCAGGCTGTAAACTCCTTGGGTCAGGCAGCAGCAGGAGAGGACAGATTTGTGGGCTCCTGTCCCCGGATCCGTCCCCTGGCCAGCCTGACGGTTTCCGTCCTGATGAGCTCTCCAGAGAGTTCAAGTCCAAGGCCTCCATCCTCCTTTCCTTCCATCTCTCCGGAGGCCCAGAACAGAATTCAGCTAGCAAGGACATTTCTCCTCCATCTGGTCACTCCGTCCTCTGCAGGTGGCCTCCCGAAGGATGATTCTCAGGACAGAACCCCTAGTCCAGGGGTTTCCTGGGGAGCCACTGCTAGCATTCACAGCATCCCACCGGGGCTCTCACGTGGCCCCCCCAGCACACCCCAGCTCCTCGCTCTCTTCCATGTGTGTGGACCAGCAGGGCACCTGCAGGCTGGGCCAGGGCCTCAGCCCTGCTGCTCTCTGGTGGCGCTGGGCCTCCTGGGAGCTGGAGCGCGTTTGAAACAGACATCTGGGGCAAAACCAGCGTGTGCTGCACTCTGGCCCAGGGGACGTGACGTGACCCTGGGTGTGCACGGCGTGGCTTTGAAGATGGCGGATCTGGAGAAGGAGCGAGGGTGGGGGCTGTAGTGGGCATCGGGCTGGTGCCCCTTCCTCCGGCGGCCACCTCTCCTGGCTGTCCCTCACTTGCCCCACTCTGAGGAGACGGCCGGGCTCTGCAGATGGGGATTCGGGTCTCTGCCTGCTTCCAGGAGCCGTTGGGCCTGGCTCCCAAACAGAGGCTTCCCCCAGGCCAGGCAGGGCTCCAGAGCCTCCAGGCTGTCACCCCACACCTACAGTGCACAGGGAGGGCCATGGTCAGACATTTCCCTCTGTCCTCTGCTTCCCTGAGCCCATGCAGCTGGCTGGTCCTGAATGGAATAAGCCCCAGGAGGGACCCGGGCAGACAGAGGCTGTGACAGAGGGGTCAGCTTGGCCCTGTCATTCCAGCAGACTCTGCTTGTCCCAGCAGAGCAGCTGACAGCTCTAAAGACCCCCAGGCCATAGAACTCCGGATAAGGCCCTGCCACACACATGCACACCACACACACATGCACACACACACACACACACACACACACACACACCCCAGGTAGAGGCCACGGATGTGCACCATGCCCCCGGGGTGGAGATGGCAAGAGGTCCACACAGCCTGGCCCCGCAGTAATGATGGCTCTTAGCATTGTTGCTCCCCCCTGCGCCTGCCCTGGTTCTACAGGTGGCCTTGCTGTCACCCTGTCACCCGGCCTGGCTCCGGGAGGGCCCGGAACCATCGTCACCCTGTGGGACCCTTTGTCTCAGGGCGGAAGGTACCTTAGCAGGATGCAGGGACCAGGGCACCAGGGCGTCTCGGTGGAAGCCGGGAAGTAACCCTCTCCTTTTCTGTTTCTCTCCCTCCCACCGCGCCTATGCTGTGTGTAGGCCAGGATCACTTCTTGGCCCAAAGAAAACCCGGGTTCCTGGTTCAGTGAATTCAAGCGCGGTAAACTGGTAAGGTGGCCCCTCTGTCCCCTGCGGTTGTCACTTTAAAGGCACCCGTCTCCTATCTTGCAGAGTAAAATGGCCCGCTGGCCCAAAGAGCGGCCCTCTACCTGGTATAGTCAGTACAAGCGTGGCTCCCTGGTAAGTGGCCGCCCTGTGCTGCTCGCTACGGCTCGGCCTGGCTCTCAGCTCTGCATGGCCCACTTGCCACCGACACCGGGCCACGCCTGCTCTTGCCCCTTTGGCCACATCACTCCACCACACGTGACAGCAGGCCTCAGCCAGCCTGGTGCTTCTCCTGTGGCCCTGTGGCCACTCGCAGGCGTGGCAGCAGGAAGATGGTCCCTGAGACTTGGGGCAGCGGCAACAGGCCAGGGACGGCAGCCCAGCCAGCTGCAGGGGCACCGTAGTCAGGGGCATCAAGGGCAGGAGGCCATCAGGGGTGGCTGGTGGCAGGAGCAGGCGCTTGTCTTAAAGAACAAGAGTCGTCTAAGCGCCTACTGGGCATTCGCTCAGGTCCCCCCGGGCCAGGGCTGTGGCTGCCAACCAGCCGTGTGGTTCTCTGTCATCCTCCATGGCTGTGTAGACAGGACACAGCCCTCTGGCTGGTGCTGACCGGAGCCAGTCTGAGCCTCATCCTGCAAGGCCAGGGGCTGTGGCCACAATGCAGTTTACCTGCAGCGTGCAGCAATTCGGGCCTCTGGGATAAACAGTTCCAGGTCCCCTGCTGGGCTCGGCCCCGTCCCCTGTGCCTGTCCGAGAGGCCACTCCGAGGACATCAGCCCATGGTCATTTCCTCCAGCCCCGCCTCTCTGGCCGACGCAGAGGCCACCTCCCCCAAGGGTTCACAGCCATGGCTCCCAGCTGCCTTTGCCACCTGCCCCTGAAGTCCTCGTCCCTTCGGCTTGGGGCTCGCCCTCCTTGTGGGATGCTAATACCCTAGCTCCTGCCCTGGTGCTGACGGCCTGTGCTCGCCTCGGCCGTTTCTCCAGAGCTTCCCCGCTGTCCCTTCCTGTGGACGCAGGCGCCTGTCCCCTCTCCTCCCGCCCTTCCTCCCTTCCACCTGATGCTGTCTTCAGAGCAGACACTGGCACACAGAAGGGCTGCCGGGCCAGCTCTCGGGGGGAGGGTGGGCCCGTGGACAGGGCCTGTTAGGACAGGAGTTGGGGACATTGGGCCTAAGGGGTCCGGTAGGAAGGAGCCCCTGGCTGGAGGAGCCTCCGGTCAGGGAGGTGGCCAGCCTTGGCTGTCACCACCTACACTAGCCCTGCCTCCGTCCCGTCGTGTTGTCCTGGGCCACAGGGAGGCCTCCCAACCCCAGCCTGGTGTCCACTCTGAGGCAGTGAAGTGACACCAGCGTGTCCAGTTGTCAGCCTGCCTGGCCACCCCGCCTTGCTTGTCCTGTTTCCCAGACAGGTAACACAGGCAGAGGTGCAGGGTGGCCCAGGGCGGCCCCCTGATGTGGGGTCTGCTCCCCACTTGTGTCTGGCTCCGAATATCAGTGCATCGAGATGGAAGGTGGCCTCTGCCCCGGAGGACTCAGTCTTGGTCTGAGCTGGCTGCCAGAGCCAGGCCACACAGTGGTGCAGCAGAGGCCCCTTCCAGGGCTCCAGACCGGGGCACGAGCTGGCCTAGGTCCTTCTGTGTGCAGCCCCTCCCCGCATGCCTCCTCTTGAGTCAGTCACAGTTACCCAGGAGCGCCGATGGCCCAGATACTGGTTGGTACTCGGTTTTTGTCCGCAGGTCTGACGCTGCGGTCCACCGTCACTGTCCGTGAGGGTGTGGGGTTTGCTTGTACCTTGGGGACCCAGCGTGTCCCGCTGCACTGGTGTCGAGAAGTGGGGTCCCCTCCGTGCCTTGTGATTTTGCTGACTGGGCAGGCCCCGCCTTTCACACCCACCCCATGCCAGCACTGGTCCCGGGAGCCCCTGTACGTCCCAAACCCCCTTCAGGGGGTGCAGAAATTAAGGCCCACCTCCCAGGGTGCCCTGTGCCAGCCTGGCCTGGCAGAGCAGAGCAGCCCGGTGTTGGGGACCCAGCCCGTGGCACCTTGTCCTTCCCCGTGCCGCCACTGGGCTTGTGGCAGATGGGGCCCCCCAGCAAGGGTCACAGAGCCAGAACCGGACTACCTGTGCGGCACGGGGGTCTGCAGGTGCTCAGCTGCTTGCACCCACCTGGGGAGGGGAGGGGCGGCCGTGCTGGGTGCCATCCTGGAGCGCCCTGTGCCTCCAGCGGGGATCCCCAGCCATCCACATAGCCCCGACCCTGTGCTGTCTTCCTGCCTGTCACCCCCGGGGTCCCAACTCACTCCCCATGGCTGGCTGGGCCTCACAGAGCTTTCCATGTCCACCAAGCACCTTCCGTGGCTGGCGTCGGGCATACGTGCCCCCTTGCCCTCATTGTGCTCAGGGTTGAGGAGGGGTGGCACACAAGGCAGGAGACAGCCCAGATGAGGACCAGTGCTGGTGTGGAGGGACGCAAGAAGGCTCAGGGTGCTACAGAGGAGGGCGCCTTCTTAGTGTCTCCTTAGCAGCGTCCTCGCCAGGAGCAGGGCCTGGCACGGGGTGGCATCCGTGGGCAGCACTGCTGCAGAGTAGGGAGCATCTGGGCCCAGAGAGAGAAGCCCACGAAGGCTCGGGGGCCACAGGAGAAGGCGGGGCTATTGGGGCAGGGAGGGGCGTGGACGCCTGGAGGCCCCAGAGAGCTTCCTCCTGCCTCTTCCCCTCTGGGTTCCCCGTGGGGAGCCCAGTGTCACTCCCAGCTGGGTGCTGGCACCCAGAGCCAGGGATGGAGGGCAGAGCCCCATGAAGCCTGTCTCCATGCGATGTGTGTTTCCGAGAACAGTGCCCAGTGCATCCTACATGTTCCGAGCATTCAGACCTGGTGGGGGGCAGGGGGCCAGGGGGCTCCTCTGACGCTGGCAGGTGCCGGCTGGCAGAAAGGGAGGAGGAGCACCGGGAACACCGGGTGGCTCAGGGCCAGGTGGCCCCGGGCCTCTACACTCTGAGGCTGTGATCTATGCATCCAGTGGCCTTTCATCAGCTGCCTTGGGCTGGGAGGGTATTCTCGGAGGAGGGGAGGGCCAGGCTGTGTCCCGCCCTGCTGAGCCCACCCTCGTCCTGCCCGCAGCTCTCCTACGTGGACGCAGAGGGCAACCCCGTGGGCGTGGTGCAGATGACCTTCCTGAGGCTGCTCAGTGCCTCCGCTCACCAGAACATCACCTACCACTGCTACCAGTCAGTGGCCTGGCAGGATGCCGCCACGGGCAGCTATGACAAGGCCATGCGCTTCCTGGGCTCCAATGACGAGGAGATGTCTTATGACAACAACCCCTACATCCGCGCCCTGACAGACGGCTGCGCGGTGAGCGTCCACCTGGGGCCGCCCCTCACTTCCGGATCTTTAGGGCCTCTGTACTGTCACCTCCCATGGACACATGCGTCCTTCTCCCAGCCTGGTCACCGAGGTCTGGGTGTGTCCTGGTGTTCTGGAGATGTTAGAATGTGACTGTCACCAGCGTCCAGGCCTGTGGAAGTTGTTGGACATGTGCTCCTGTGTGGCCTCTTAGCGGCTGGAGGGTGGCGTCACAAGAAGCCCCGCTGAGCCCCATACTGGTACCCCCGACGTGGGGCCCCATTCTCTTCTGCCCTGAGAGAATCTGCCTCAGACCCTGCCCCATGCCTAGCGTCCAGCCTTCTGGGTCAGTGGACCCCGTGCTCTCGGCCTCGGGCATCACTTGGGCACTGTCCCCTGTCCCCTTGTGGCTCCTGCTGCTTGCCGGTGTCCCCACCACTATGGATGGCCCCTGGCGTAGCTAGGCTGTCTCGGTGTGTGCTGGTCCAGAACCGCCCCCATCACGCAGACCCCTCCCCGCCCGCCCAGGTCCTTCGAGCTCTTGGGAAGCAGAGGTCAGGCGCATGCAAACTGGGTGCTAGACAGGGGCAGGAGTGGTGGCTCCCTCCCGTTTTTACTTCTGGGAAGAAAAGTTCCACCGCAGAGAGGGTGGGGAGGGAAGGACTCGGGAGAACAGCCCTGCTGGAGAAGCTTGGTTCCCAGGAAGCTGGCGAACATCGGTGGAAAGGGCAGACGGGGGCGGGGGGCACAGGGAGGTGGGGCCGAGTGACACGGGTCAGCGAGCAGCAGCGCCGCCTGGGCCTGCAGTGCCACCGGCCCTGAGCCCCTAGGTGTCCCGCCTCTCTTGGGGAGGTCACGGCCTTCCTGTTTTGTTGCTCAAAGGCCAACACCGGGAGCCTGCTTGATTCATTTCGCAGTAACAGCTCCAGAAATTGGAGTTGTGAGGCTGGACTCCTTTGACTGCCAGCCTGAGTGACAGGGCTGCTGAACGGCCGGCCCTGTAGGGGCACAAATCACAGGCAAGAGGGCGAGGTGGCCTGCCACATAAATCCCACTGTTTGCACAGTGTTGTGCCCCCCCAGGGGGCCGTGCGAGCCTTAATGGTTATTTATGCTTCGGGAATAACGGGGTAACGAAGCTGCAGGCTGAGGCCTGCTGCAGATAGGCTCCTTTCCGAGTGCTCCGATAATTGGAGCAGAGGGGCCCCATAAATCCAGCACCATTACCTGCTGGCTCAGCAGAGGCTGCCTGGCCTGGGGCAGGGGAGAGGCCACTGCTGCAGCCACGAAGGCCTCGGGGCTCCCACCCCAGGTTGGAGATCGGGCCAGGCTACCTGTCACTGAGAACACTCGGCTCCCTGAGACCCCACTACAGTCCAGCCCGGTGAGGGCCAGGCAGTGGTGGCGTCTGATAGCCTGGTAGGATCAGGTGAGGGAGCAGAGCCCAAGGGGGCGGTGCTTGTACGGCAGAGTGGTGTCTGCCTCTTCCTCACTGGCTTTCCCGTGGCTGGGGGTCCTTGGAGGGTGCTGTGTGCAGCTGCAGGCGTGGGCCAGTCGGTCTCTGCTTCCCTCTCCTGGGTGGAGTGCCGTGGCTATCACTGGGGGTAGACCCAAGGACTAGAGGGGGCCCCCGAGGCTCTGCGTGCCCTGCCCAGGATGCTTAGCATTTGTGCCATGGGGGTGCTGGGCCACCTGCCAGCGAGGTCCTTCCGACAGCTTCTCAGCTTTCTTACCGCTAATAGCAGCATGGCCCTAGATGTCTGGATTTTAAAAGTGCAGGCTCTGAATCCCACCCTAGAACTTGGGAGGCAAGTCCCCGGGGCAGGTGGGGGCTCCCATTCTCTGAGTCCTCACCCCGCTTTGTACCCTCTGCTCCAGGCCCGGCTGTAGTGTGCGGGGAGCTCTTACCGGGTGGGCTTTGGGAAGGTTGGGGTGGGAGCGTGTGAAGGAGAGAGGGCTGGACACACTCCCACAGCAGATGCCAGGAGGGCCCATTGTGGCTCTGCGTCCTCACCCCTCTTCTGTGAACTTCTCTACGTCCTCTGGGGAAAAAAGAGGCACAGGAAGTGTATTTATTATCTGTTGTTGGTAACAAAGTAACCCAAACTTCAGCGGCTTAGGAGAAGCAGGACTAGGCTACCACCCCAGTTTGAGGGTCAGGGATTTGGGTGCATCAGGGCTGGGCAGTCCTGGCTCAGGGCCTCTGTGGTCCTCTTAGGCTCCATGAGAAGTGTCCATGGCCCGGGCAGCTGGCAGACCGTGGGCACTCACTGTGCGCGGCTCCACAGGTGGGCAGTGGGAGGGCAGGCACCAGCAGGGTCGGGTCCTGATGACGGCCTCTTCCGGGTCGCAGGCAGCTGTCTAGTCCTGCGTCTGCAAGTGGCACAGAGAGGGCAACGGACCTTGCTACGGCCACTCTGTGAGGGCAGTCTGCTCCTGGGGGCTGCACCCTCTAATCTGATTGCCTCCTACCGTCCATCACTGGTGGGTCCCGTCAGGGTTCCAGTGTGCATTTGGGAACACACTCAGTCCTCTGCACGGGGGACAGGCCCTGAGGACTGTGTCCCCTCCCGGCCCGGGACTGACCAAGGCAGAGTCAGGACTGGCCTCACAGTCCTGTGGGGCCCTTGCCAGCTGCATCCCAGCCACAGTGCCCATTGGAGGGAACCCTGGAGGACACCTGCAGGGACGGGGTGCCGGAGGGAGACCCTACTCACACCCGGCTCAGAGCGAATCTGGTTCCGGTCTAGGACATGTGGTCTGTGGGTGTCCCAAGGGAAAGTTGTGGATTTTGGGGGCCCTTTTCCCGGAGAAGTTGACTGGGCGGCACGGGCAGGTCAGCCTTGTTGCTGTGTCCCAAACACTTGGAGCTGACTTGGGTTGCTTTGGGGACCAGAGCAATGGTGCACCTTCCTCCCTGGGTCTGGGACATGGGACCAAGAGGAAGAGCCTCTCCGGAAGTCTGCTCACCCTACTGGGGGCTGCATCCTGCTTCCCAGGACCATGCCGGCCTCATTAAGGGGTCTGCGTCAACCACCTTGTCATTCCCCACTTTGGAACGAGGAGCCCCTCGTGTTGATCCTGGTTCTGTAGCTGCCCTGACAGGGCTGGTCTCTAAGGCACTTTCCCATCTCTGGGACAGAATACTGACACCCCCGGCTTTAGTGAGAGGTTCCTTTTGGGTTATGTTTTAGAAGTCTCCATCCTTGCCTGGCTGGCGGCAAGGCAGAAGGGCTTGGGAAAGGAAAGGGGCTCAGGGCATGGCGAACAGGAAGCAGAGAGGAAAGGGAAGAGCCAGGGAAGGAGCTGAACCATCTCAGGCCCCGCCTCCTAACAAGCCAGCCATAGCACTCCCACCCATAGAGTCACCTTCCAGAAACCCCGCCTATAATCCCACGAGGCTCTTGGGAGATGTCTGCGTATAAACCATGTCAGCTGCCCTGGGCCCAGTAGCTTGGGGGTGTCCACAGGGCCGGGAGGGAGGGACCCTTCTGAGGCCTGTTTCCACGCCCCACCCGGACTGTGCGGGCAGCTTCGGATGTCCATGGGGGTGAAGCAGGTGATGTGGGTGGGCAGGGACAGGAGGCTGTGATGGTGGCTGGCTACCCCCAGGACGCCCTGGATCCTAACCACCTCCGCCTGTCTCCCCCTTCCAGGCCAGGAAAGGCTACCAGAAGACGGTGCTGGAGATAGACACCCCCAAAGTGGAGCAGGTGCCCATCGTGGACATCATGTTCAACGACTTCGGCGACGCGGCACAGAAATTCGGATTTGAAGTGGGGCAGGCTTGCTTCATGGGCTAGGAGCCGCCGCAGCACCCTGGTCTCCCGAGCAACCTCATGACCTCAGCACGCCCTTTGTGAGTGTCGTACAAGCGCTGTCACGCTGGGGACGGCAGTTTCTCGAGCCCCTCCCACATGACTTTATCTGCGCCCTGCACCCCGAGGTGCCCGACCGACCCTGCGCTCTGGAAAGAAGCCTGGGAGCGAGCCAACCCCCCTGGAGCCGAATCACATGACCTAGCGGGCCACACCCACATTGCGTCTACACCACACACCACAGGGAGGAAGCCAGCTGCTGCCCTGGCCCCTCGCTCGCCGGATCCGCTGCCGGACCGCATGGTGGACAGTGGGCGGGGGTGGGGGTGGGGTGGCAGTATTTGGGTATCACTTCTTTTTAATTCAACTTGAAGATGTGTATTTCCCCTGACCTTCAGAAAATGTGCCAAGGCCAGCCTTGTAAAGGTCGCCAAAGCCTGTTTTTAACCACCCTCCACACGATCCATGTAGAGGCCAAATGTCATTCTGCGTGTGCCTTTCCGATGGATTAAAGGTGCTTATGTTTTGTAAGTTTTAAGTAAATATTTGTATTGTATTGTTATAAATGTTAAGTGTGCCTGACTTTCAATCGTGCGTGGAAACCCAGCCTCAGGACCCCGCAGGGAGGACGGCTGGATGTGGTAACAGCGTCCACTCTGGGTGGACCCCATTCTCTAGAAGCAGGATGCCCCACCCTGCCCCACCCTGACAAGAATATGCAACAAGTTGGAAATTTTCCCAGGTCCACAAGAAGCCATGCTGCCCAATAAAAGCAAGGCCAGACCCCTTTTCCAGGCCAGTTTTTTTTTTTCCAATCTGGACTTTAATTTTTTTTTTCCTATGGGGAGGAATCCGATACTCTGCTCTCTGTATGTGCACTTAGACTAAGATGCAGGCTTCGGTGCATTTTGCTTGCTTCCTTTTTCCATTTTCCTTTCTGCAGAGCCCAGGCCCGGAACCACATGTTGTGTAGATGATAATTAAGTGAAACTTGGTGCTGATTTTTTACACTTCTCTTGTGGTGCTATGTCTGAAGATCTCATAGAAGGCAACATGGGATTGACTGGCCCTGCTCCTCCTCCGGGCCTCCTTCCCCTGGGTGCCAACTGGGAGCCGAGTCTTTGCCAAGGACCTCGTAAGAGCTGCCACCTCCCCTCCCAGCGGGCGTGGAGCCTCCCGGTGCTCGTTCTTGGCTGCGGGGAATCTGCCCCCGAGTCCCGTCACCCGGCTCTGCGGACTTGATCTGAACACACACACACGTGCAAAGGACCGACTGCGTCCTGCGTGGTGTGACCGTCGCAGAGTGTGTTCGTGGTACAGATTTCTGTCTTGCAGACACTGAGCTGAAACCATGCCGTGCCCCACATGCCTTGTGCGCAGGTGGAGAAATGTGCAATGAACTCTGGGAGATGCAGAAGCAATTGGGTTTGTGCCTGCGGGTGTCCAGGACGCGGGCGTTGGCTGCTCTGGAGCTCAGACTGCTGCAGTTCCCACTGGGCCTCGCGTGGATGGTGGACCCAGGCCGGCCAGCAGCCCCTGTACTGTGAAATGTGCCCTCCTACCAGGCCCCTGCCTCCACCGTGGGGAGCGGGCGGAGCCCCGTGGGACGCACTTGCAGCGCCCCGGGAATAACACCACCACCAAGGCTGACTCCCCACATCTCCCCAGAAAACAAGTCGCACTCTTGCCAAAGAAAAGCCTGGCTCAGGGACTCTCGAGGCCAGGATGCCCGCAGGCACCGTGACCGCTGTGTGCCTCTTCTTGCGCGAAATGCTGGACGGGAGAACGGTCCTGCGAGGCCCTGTGGACTCGGCCTAGGTCATGTGATTCTGTTTCCCCTCCCCCACCAGATTCATCCTCCCATTTGTCACCCTCTGTGGGTCCCCTCAAAGTCGTACCAAGTCCGAAATGTGTCCTGTTCTCCCCCAGACCACTTTAGCTGCGGTATATTGCAATAAAATCACTTCTTGTATCTGCACGTACTCTTCCAGTGTCATTTTTTTTCTCCCCATGTATATAATTGGACAAATGTTGATGAAAAGATAAAAAGCAGTAAACAGAAAACCTATGATAAAGATTCCAGAACACCAGGCCCTCTGAAATTCAGTGCCACCTTTGGTGAAATTCAGTGCACCTTTTTAAGACACATTGCTGTGTCTTAAACGTCCGCAGGCGTGCTGCACACTTAAGTGTCACACCCACGAAAGGGGTGTCGTAAAGTGTTTTGTTCCTGTGTAACAGAGGCTGTTTTTAGCCTTTTTTCAGTATACCAAGTTCACCGTTTCCACTGAACACGGACGTCTGCTTCAGCGTGACCTGGCCCCTCCACTGCATGTGACCCACGTGTGACTGCACTGTCCCCAGACACTGGCAGCGCTTGAGTCACAGCACTGGCCCCAGTGCTGCCCACCAGCTGCCGCTGCGAGGGGCTTGGCTGTGGACAGCTGTCCCCATAGGGAGGCGAGGACGTGGCGGGGGCCAGCTTGAGGGGTAGCTGAGCTGAATGTCACCAGCTCTTAGATTTCAGACCCTGACATGCTGGGCTCACTTCCCACCCTGGTGACCCCGAGTGACATCCTTCCTGTAGGGCAGGGTCCGACACCTGGGTTGTGGCCTGCAGGGATGTGGGGGCGTGGCTCCTCTCAGCCAATGAGCTTGTGCACCGGTGACGTGCGCCTCTTCCTGTCTAGCCTGGCTCCATCCTGGTCTCCATTTGATCATTAGCTGCTGCTGCTGCTGCTGAGATGCTGTCGCCGCTGTTCTGAGTCCGTGGGCCACCTCCCGTGCTGCCTCTGCAAAGTGATTCTCTCAGGTCAGGCCTCAGCAAGGGTGTTCAGAAGCAGGTAACCAAGGAGTGTGGCCGCCATGCCTCTCCTTGACAGTCTCCTGGGCTGGGAGTTACTGGCTCATCTGCCCCCAGGCTGGTGGGGTTGGAAAGTGAGTGTCAGGCTGTCCCTGCGGTGTTGGAGGGGACGCCCCCTTTCCAGAGCCAAGTCCCTTATAACTCAGGGCTTGCCCCAAAGATCCGGTGGGACCCAGGAGCACACACTTCTGGCTGCCGGTCGCCATGGGCCCCACTTTGAGAGGCACTGGTCTGAGCTGCCTGCAGGACCGACTCTGTTCAAACAGAATACATTTCCCTAAATCATGCTGCAGGTCACTGTAGATTAGGGGGGGCTCCGCCCAGAACCTGCTGGCTGTACCGCTGCTCCAGGGAACGTGGCTGGGGGCACCTGCTTGGTGCCACGCTGATGGGGTGGGAAGGATTTGGGGCCTCTCTCGGGCCCAGGCTCTGTCTTGTGCCTCAGCCAGGAAACCATCACTTTCCAGCTGTGTCCCAGCAGTAAATACTTCCGCAAAAGCCACATGCCCATCCCACACAAGAGCATCTGGCTTTTTTTTTTTTTTTTTTTTTT